CCACAGGTCCAGTTCATCCAAATAGGAGGGTGGGAATTGGCTCTTTTTTTTAATCATTTATTGCTGCCCTGACGCTCAAGTTGAGCAGATGTTAATGAGACGTTCTCATGACTACAGAAGGTCTTGGCTAAACTTGGTGATAGGTTGGGTTCCAGTTCTCGTGTCGTCTGTTAATTGGCGCAAATGTCTTGTCGACTGCACAAACGTGAATGTCATGGTGACAGCAAAGGACTAGACAACAACGGAAGTCTGCCGATGTCTTTGAAACTGTTCATCAGACGCCTTCTCGCAAAGTCTGTGAAAAAGCTTAATTGGATAAAGCCGAGATAAACAGTTGAAAAAAGTGGATATTGAGACTTTATAAGAGTCTTGTATGCGAAGTAAAGTTGGGTTTGAAGGAATCGCTTGTTTCACAATTGTTGAGTTTGCTTCCATTTCGAGTGGAAGTGTTGCGGGTGAAGAGGTTCGGAGGTCGGTTCCACCAGAAGACGACGCGGATTCCTCTTGACTTGACTGGAACATTCATGCTGACGCTGTTTCCGAGGCAATCTGCTTAGATTCCGGTGAAAATGTGCTGTGCTTTCGTCCGTCATGTGACGAACATCATCAAGTACCATCATCCGGTATCATCGTGGCGACCAAATTCAAGCTAACGAGTCAAGAGTCTTAGTCAGTCCAGATCGCTTGAGGAAATGAAGGGACCATCAGCAGCCTCGAATGGATTCGAACTCTGTTTGTGACGGTGCAGAGTGTACCGGCGACATGTCACCAATGCACCACACTGCCACGAATGTCGGTGTGTCAGGGGGCAGTCATTCATATCGCAATTGTATGATGACAACCGCGTGTTTGCCTTCTACTCAAATCATTGTGGAAAAGTTCAAGATCAGTCGTCGGGAGCGGCTTTTCTTCTCTTAGCGCTTGGTGAAAGTCCCTAAATTATCGAAGGTATGAAGGCCGAGTTGGCGAGGTGGAACTCGGTTGCGTTGTCAACACGAATTGGGAGCAAAAACGGCAAGATGGGTTTCGGTGAATCGCTGGAGATGTCATGGTTATGGAGACTTTTGTGGAAATAAGAGATTCGTAGGTCGAGCTCGCCAGCAAGCGCGTCTGTCTTTTAAGCAACGTTCAATTTGACGCACTTCATGAGACATCCTCCCTCGTTTCGGGGCAAAACGGGCTGAAGAAGATGGTCAGAGATGGAACTCAGACTTGCCGAAGCTATCCGGCTCGTTCCTCCATACCAAAATGTGTGTAGACGGTCTTAACGTGGAGTAATTACAAAAAATATATGCGAAAAAAGTTGGCTTTCGAGGGATCGCTTGTTTCACAATTGTTGGGCTTACTTCCATTTCGAGTGAAAGTGTTGCGTGAAGAGATTCGAAGCTCGGTTCCACCAGAAGACAACCAGCTGTCGAGTGGGTTTGCTGGAACATTCATGTTGACGCTGTTGCCGAGGCAAGCTCCTTCGATTCCGGTGAAAGTGTGCTAAGCTGCCATACATCGTATGACGAAATTGAAGCTGTCGGGTCAAGAAAACTCAAAGTTAACTCTCACTTAACTAGACTATCCGGCTCTTTCTTCCATACCAAATGTGTACATTCCTTAACAACAAGCCATGGAGATACAGAGAGATAGAAGTGATTACAAAATCAGCCAACTTCAAACAGGAATCGTCAAGGTTTGCCGACTGGAGTGTTTCGAAAGTGATAGTCATTCTTTTTGTCTTAGCTCCCGGTCAAGTTCCGCTAAAGTATGAAAGGTGTAAACACAATTTCGGCGCCAAAAGTGGGGCCATTTTGTGGTCCCAACCTGGTGATGTGGTCGAGAGGAGACATGCCAAAATTGGTGCTAAAACGGGAGTGAGACACGAAAATACGAGGACATAGGACTTCGGTCGAGGTGGGAGCTTCACTTGTCGCTTGGACGAGTTTCAGTTTGGGCTCAGTTTCTGCAGAGCCGATTGACGCTGCCAACGCGACGTCCGAGAGGAGACCAAGTCTACGAGGTGGCATCGGCAACACGACGGGGCTGGCGAAACAATCGCTTTTCTGAGGCAGATCAAACTTTGATCGCGCTCCGTGCAGCGGTTCACACAATGCCACACCTTCTTCGTGTACGCCAGTAAGCTCAGAAGAAGATCCTTTACCTTCGGCTTAGTTGGCACGGCAACTGGGGCCATGATCTCGAGATGGACCGTCAACGATCACCAGCCCCGGGGCTTGACATGTCTGCACATGAGCTGACGAGTTTGCGGCTCAGTGACGTGTTTCCATCGCCGAAACAGGACCTGAAACCGACTGGGGACGTTCTCCGTTGTCGGGGTCGACACAAGTTTACCCGCAACCCAACCATTTCTTGCGCTGATGTTGATGTTGGTGTTGATGTTGATGTTGATGTTGATGTTGATGTTGATGTTGATGTTGATGTTGAT